AAGGCAGGCTACTGCCGCCAGGTGAAAGAATTGTGGCCGTGAAAGAGAGACACTATATTGCAGGCAAAGGCCATGGTTCATCCTTACCTGTTTCTCATATTCCTCGATCCTGGTCTTTGAGAGAGACACAAACTCAGCACAGGTTTTCACCTTTAAGAGAAAGGAGAAATTGGGTTCTGAAGCCAAGCTGTATTCTTCCCCCAGGCTCCCAAGGTAGGAGTCTTAGAGCCCACTCTGGCTCTCCCGCGGCCTACGGAGAATACGTGCTTGCCCTGACCACTAGGAAGCGCTCACCCTGGGAGCAGATCCACAACTTTCCCTGACACCACAGAGAAGCCCCCGAGGGAAAACCAGCTTGGGATGTCAGGACCAGGCTTCTTGAGCAAGTTTCTCATGCAGAGGACCTAGAAATGCCTCTGTCATAGGGGCTGGTCACTGAGTGGTCAGGACGAGCCGCATGACCACGTAGCCAGACTTCTCTTTGGCCACGTCACAAGCCATCTGGGTTCCAACGTTTGTCCTTCAATGCTTTTAAGCGAATAGTTATTTGGACACTACTTGGATAATTTTTCTACCTAGTTCAAACTCCTTGTTTCCAACAGCTTTAAGGTATAATTGAAATAAAATGCACATATTTAAAGAGCACTGTTTGATAAGTTTTGATGTATGTATCCACCTGTGAAACCATCACCACACTCAAAATGGTGAATATATTTATCACCTCCCTCCCAACTATCCCCAGGCAACCACTGATGTGCCTTCTGTCACTACAGATTAGTTGCATTTTCTAGAGTTGTATAAAAATGGAATCATATGGTACGCACTTTTTTTCTTGCTGGCTTCTTTCACTCAGCATAATTATTTTGAAATTCGTCCATGTTGTTGTATTTATTAACAATTCACTCTTTTTATTGCTGTAAATTCCTTAATTTTCAATTTAACTCACTCTACCTTAAGCTAGCTGCTAAGACACACAGAGCCACCAGTATTAAGAGAATTAGTAAATAAGAGCGTCGACTACTTACATCCTCCTTTTCTTCAGCATCCACCTGGGCAGTGTATTTATCCTCTGGTACGGGAACCTTCAGGGCATTGAACTACAACACAAGGACACTGAGTTGTCACCAATATACCCAGGAACCCAAAGGGCTCAAAGCTGCTAACCTTTATAGATCAAATTAAAACATATTCTCAGCCGGGCGCCGTGGCTCACGCCTGTAATTCTAGCTCCCTGGGAGGCCAAGGCGGGCTGATTGTTTGAGCTCAGGAGTTCGACACCAGCCTGAGCAAGAGCGAGACCCCGTTCTCTACTAAAATTAGAAAGAAATTAATTGGACAACTAAAAATATATACAAAAAAATTAGCCGGGCATGGTGGCGCATGTCTGTAGTCCCAGCTACTCGGGAGGCTGAGGCAGGAGGATCGCTTGAGCCCAGGAGTTTGAGGTTGCTGTGAGCTAGGCTGACGCCACAGCATTCTAGCCCAGGCAACACAGTGAGACTCTGTCTCAAAAAAAAAAAAACAAAAACAAAAAACATATTCTCTGTCCCAAGAGGAAGCCAGTACACACTTCGAATGTTTTAGTGGAAAGAATCAGACTGGAAACAAGAGCTCAAGGGTCTTCTCAGCCCTGTCACTAACTCACTGAGGTCCTTGGACAATTCCTTATTACAGGACAGTTGGACTCTATGACCAGGAAAATGACCTCTTGGCAGCCCAAATTCTAAAGAAATTCTGATTTCTCTTTTACGTGACAACCATAGAAGGCTGATTGGTGGAAGTATGTTTGCATAATGGACGAGAAGATAGACTACTTAGAAGACCGCTTAGTGTTCTAGCCCCAGCACTAAACACTGCTGGCACTGAGTAGGCTCTCAATAAGCATCTTCAAGCGAATAAGCAAATAACTTTGGATATTGAAACTTAACGTGTAAGTATCAAAGGAGGATAAGTGGATGAAAAATTACAGCTATAAGGAGCAGTAAAAAAAGAGCAGAGAAAGGAGAAAAACAGGAAAAGAATAGAAAAGGTGTTAGTTTGTTCCAAAGGCAGACAGGTGGGAGGCTAAAAAGAAACCCAGGAAGAGGCGGGCAAACATTTAAATTGACAGCTCCCTGGCTCCCGGATTAACACTATCCTGCACAGTGAAGGAATAGACCCTGATCCTCTGCACCTATTTATTGCTAGGCCTTTGGCCACATCCATCTTTCCTAAGCTCCCTTAGGGATCTAGCTATCAGCCCGTACATGTAATTATCCACCTTCCGGCTCCCCGCCCACAAGCCACATCACAAGCTGAGTGCCTTAGTGGTCTGAAGTCTCACCTTCTTCTCAAAGTCATCCACCAAGCCTGCCTTGGCCACATTAGCCTTGTAGTAAGCCCAGTCAATAGCTGGTGGATTCTCAGGTAGAACAGCCAACCTGCTCACATTGGAAAAGCAAAAGTTAGGATTGTCCCATGAGCAAACAGAAAACTCACACAGTATAACTTCCTTATTCCTATGACCTGGAGTGCTATCACACTTTTCTCTTGTAGGGTCATCACGAAAATGCAAAAAAAATACTTCTGTTTGGAAAATGCATTCTTTATATGTTGTCAGAAAAGCATCAGGAATTCATAGTAATTCCACAACACTGTTTGCTTCTAGATTCATGACAAGTACGGGGGTCCTTCTCAGAAACATACTGACCTGGAGGTGAGGGTCTCATTCCAAGATTTCAGGGAATTAGCAATAGCCTTTTGGTTTCGGGGTATGATCTCTCCAAAAGCTACCCAGTCAATGGCTTTTAGAGCAAGTTTTCGCCCAGCCATCTTGGGATCCTGGAAAATAAAGTAAGTCAAGTAAGTAAGATCAAAGCAGGGATCTTGGAGAGAATGCTGTAAAGGGCATCTTAGAAACAAGCAAGTCTTTAAGAAATAGATCAGCATCTGTTGAGCACTTGGTGGGTATATTTATCAACTAGAGGAACTAAGATTACTAAATCAGAAAAGGAGGACAGTTTAGCTTCTCAAATTCAAGGTGTGCAATCTGGCACAAAAATATATTCTCTCCCACTGGATTGCCCTTCCTAATCCTAGCACTGTGGGAGGCCAATGCAGGAGGATCCCATGAGCCCAGGAGTTTGAGAGAACAGCCTGGGCAAATAGCAACACCTCATCCCTACAAAAAAAATAAAAAAAATAAAAATTAGCTGGGTGTGGTGGTGTGTGCCTGTAGTCCCAGCTACTTGGGAGAGTAAGGCAGGAGGATCTCTTGACTCCAGGAGTTGGAGATTACAGTGAGCTCTGATCATGCCACTGCACTCCAGCCTGGGCAACTGAGTAAGACCCTGTCTCTTAATAAATAAATAAAATTTAAAAACAGGCTGTCTTTCCTCTATCCCCCAACTCCTCCTCACCCTTAAAAGCTCAGCTCTCTACTTTTTGCTCTCCATGTTCCTTTGGAAATGTTGCTAAAATAACATTCATCTGTTGCATAAAAGTTAATAATTTAAATACATTTCCACCTAGATTGTGTTTTATTCACTGATTCTCCAGTACACAGAACCTGACACATACCTAAGTTTTAACAAGGCTTATGTGGAGCAGACTCTGGGCTACAATCTCCGTATCTGTAAAATGGGGATAACATCAGCCTTGCTTAACTCAGACGGCTGTTAAAAGTATCAAATGAAACTGTGCACATCAAGTTTCTCTACAATTTTATACAAACTTAAGGGGCTCTCTACCCCTCTTTCTACTAGATTGGTAACACACCTTCGCCTTCACCTTTTATTCATGTCGGATTACCCCCGCAGCACTAGTACATATCCTGCCTGCATTTTAAGAGGTATCCAATACATATGTGAATGAGAGAGACGATTGGAACATGGTTACAGCCATATTTTTCTAAACCAAGACAGAATATGGGGAAATAGTAACTTAAAAAGATCAGGGTCAGATATTAGAAGACTGCAAAGCCAAAGGTCTTTACAGTCTTGGAGTGGATTTCAAGGGAGGTGAAAGATATCTTCCTCAGGATCTTAAAGTTGTCAAACACCAGCCTCTTCCTTTCTTTCCTTCTCAGGACAGTTTGTTTTCTGGAGTGGAAGGGAGGAGTTAAGGCACTTAGCAGGTAACTTTTAAAGACACCAGAGAAACAAGTACCCTTACAGAGACTTTCCCAAGCACCAGTAGAAGGCAGAAGTGATAAACAGATATTTTTCTTTAATCTCCCAGTGCCCAGAACAGGCCATGCGCATAGGAGAAGCTCAATGAATCTTCGTTGAATGAGCAAATGAAACCTGCACCTGAGAAGCCCTGAACGCTGCACACGTTCTGGAGCCCTCCAGAGCCTGCTGAGTGTGCCTCAGCGAGTAGCACTATGTCTGTGTAACGTCTCCCCGGTCCCCAAAGCGGCCGACTGAAGTCTGCCGCGCTGGGAGCGGACTGAACGAGACAGGGTTCGGGGTAGCACCTAAATCTAAATCAGCCGCGGCCGGGTCACAGCTCGGTCCCCTCGACTTCGCGCTCCCGGGAGGGGTGAAGAAGGGAACGCGCAGCAAAGCGCAGCAGCTACACCTGGGCACTCTGCCAGCGGGGCAACCGAGGGCCCGGCGCGAGGCTTGGAGGCGGCAAAGCAGAGGAACCCACCGGGACTCAGGCCCAGCACCCCGGACCCCACTCACCTTCACCGACCCCGATGGCCCAGACTCCCCAGCAGCAAGTAACGGAAGTGGGTCACCGGAAGACCTTCTCTCAGCCAACCCCAAGGCCAAAGAAGCGGGCCTTGGTTCGCAGATCAGCCAATAGAGATGAGGGCTGGTTCCGGAAGCCTCGCCCCCGGGGGCGGGCACAGCGCCTCCACCGCGCGGGTCCCCGGGCGCTGGTTGGGGGCGCTCCCCTCCCTCTCCCCCCTGCCCCGCCCCCGCCGATGGGCCGGCCCGGCTCTCCCTACCGAGAAATGGGCCGGCCCGGCTACGCGCGGGCAGCGGCGGCGGCGGCGGCGGTGGCGGCCCAAGATGGCGGAGCTGCAGCTGGACCCGGCGATGGCGGGGCTGGGAGGAGGTGGCGGCAGTGGGGTGGGCGATGGGGGCGGCCCGGGCCGCGGGCCCCCCAGCCCACGCCCGGCTGGCCCCATGCCCCGCGGACACGGCCGCCCCTCCGCCGCCGTCGCGCAGCCGCTGGATCCGGGTCCCGGACCACCCGAGCGGGCAGGGGGCGGCGGCGCGGCCCGCTGGGTCCGGCTGAACGTGGGCGGCACCTACTTCGTGACCACCAGACAGACCCTAGGCCGGGAGCCCAAGTCTTTCCTCTGCCGCCTCTGCTGCCAGGAGGACCCGGAGCTGGACTCAGACAAGGTGTGCCCCGCCCTCGGGCGCGCCCCCGGGCCTTCGGACCCCCTCGTTTCTCCTAGACTCGTCCGCAGAGTCCTGGGACACGCTCCTCACAGGCAGCCCCCTCAGGCCGCGACCCCATCCTCCCCTTGGCCTGTCACGCTAGCCCCGGAGGCCTCAGATGGACCCTCCTCTCCCTTCACCCTCATTCTCAGGCACACCCCGGCTTTCTCTGACCCCGCCCTTCGTTCTCAGCGACTCCTTTCCTACATAGTGCCCACCCGCACCCTTTCTCCATATTCTCTGCTCCTCTCATCCCAGCCACTCAGAGCTGCATGAGTTTTCCCTGGCTCCTCTTCAGCCCCGCGCTGCCGGTGCCAGATGCATCTAGAACTGGGTCAGGGAGAGCTAAGGCATCTTTGTAGCTTTCTCAGACTTCCTCTCAGACCCCTCTGCCAAGTTGGGCTTCGAGAGCTGCAGGGAGTGCTTCTTGTGATATCACACTGCTTTCCTATGGGCCTGGTCCCAGAACTTTTATCTGGTAACAGTGGCTGTTTTAGATCCATATTTGAGGTGAAATGCGTTCCTTAGAGGTTACCATTTGCCAATGCAAATCTAGGCTGACCAGTTAAGAGCGAAGGAAAATGAAGACCTGAAGACGGAGGAATGCTGTTGGGCAAGATGCATGGCTGGTAACCAAAGGGTTGAGAGGTGACAAGACACTTAAGCCATTTCCAGTTTCAACTGTTTGAGTTTCTTTTTAACTTTACTCGTTCCTCTTTTAGTTTCCAAGTTAAAGGTACTGACCATAGTTCACACCACCTTATATCCCATATGGCATTCAGCTAGCTGGTCACCTTGCAACACAGTTGGGGTTGCATAAACATTTGTTGATTTCATTTATTCCTCTCCTGTCTCTCCTCTGATAAATATCAAATTGATGGAAACCTATCCTGCCCTAACTTTAAAGAGATTCCAAAACCCTTGTTTATAAAGGAATTATTTTTATCTACCTTATAGCTTCCTTGTGGCAGTGCAAGCCAGTTTCTTCTTGTTCCTTTTACTGTAAAGATGAGTAGGATTAAAGCTACTCAGAGCCAAGTCCTGGCAGTACCAAGCTTCCTCTGGGCACAGAATTGGGTGTGTGAGATTATAGCTGGCAATGCAGACTCCCACTGATGTTGGCCTTGAGCTCAGGAGCATTGCCAACTAAACAGAGGTTTTCTTAGAGTTAGGAATGTGGTTCAGGGCAATGGAGAAGTCAGAGTGTCTATCTTACACAAAGATTTAAATCACGCAGCTTTGGCATTTTCTTTCTTTTCTTAATTAACAAATATCCCACATAAGAATGTTGGTAATTATTGTCCAAGCAAAGATTTTAGAAATTCAAGCCACTAACCTATGACTGCATCTGTAAGACCTTACCCGAAAGGACCTTAAAGTACAAGGTACATAAAGATAGGTTTCTTGCCAATAGTTTGTGATAAGCAAATGTCTAGCAAAACTTGCCATCACTAACATTTTTTTAGCTGATGGAATGAATTATTGCCTTAGAGTGCTGACAAAGAGGGTGAAACCCTGCCCTGACTTTGTTTAAAATGTTCCCAAAAGCTCCACAGTAATAACACTTGTGTTTGGTTGGCAGGACGAGACAGGGGCGTATCTGATTGACAGGGACCCCACCTACTTTGGTCCTATCCTAAACTACCTCCGCCATGGGAAGCTCATCATTACTAAGGAGTTGGCAGAAGAAGGTAAGAGCACTGTTTGCATTTTCAAAATGCAAGTAAAATCTTTAAAGCTGTTTTACAGATTTGAATTTTGTTGGAGGTTTTCATCGAGCTCATGTGCAAGGGTAGTAAAGGTTTCTGGAACTGAGCAGGAAGCCTCCAGTTACCTAGTCTTGTCTGAGGGAGTCTTGTTTAAGGAAGCCACATTGAGCTCTGTGCAGTTCCTTAGTGAGAAGGAAGATAAGTAACTCAGCTGCTTAGGAGTTCTGTCCAAACCTTCAGAGTTGTCACAATCCTTTTTTACATTTGTTTATGTGCTAGCAGTGAATGTCCATAGCCTGAAGAAGCAAAACATCTCTCTGACATTCAGATATTTGTATGTTCAATTTTAGTTTGAACTTGGAGCTATAAAAAAAATAATAAAGGCTCGGCCTCATTTCTTTTAAGACTTTGGTCTCATGCTTCCCTGTAAATTTCTGCAGCTGACCTAATTCATTCTCCAGTTCTTTGTCAGGTGTATCATCGTTACCTCATCTTTTTGGTTTGTAGGGCATTTGGACTGTAAGTAGGTCTAGTCATCTTTCTACAAAGCTTGGCTTGGTCTTATTGGAGGCATTCAGGTGAAGTTTAGGGACTAAACTTAAATCTAGGGCACCCTGATCTGGGAGCTTGTAAGGGCTGTACTAGTTAATGTAGTGACTGCAAAACAATTCTGTTTCAGTAAAAAGAGGACTCCTCTCTTTTTTGATGTCCTTTTTTTAAAAAAATTTTCAAATGCATACAAAAGTAATGGGAATAGTACAGTGAATTCCTAGCACCCACCATCCAGCTGCAACTCCCAACTCATGAGTAATCTTGTTTCTTGAAAAGAGGAATAGTATCTTTTCTAATGCCTTTAATAAAAAAATTTTATTTTGAAATAATTTCAGACTTAGAGAAAAGAGCAAGAATAGTACAAAGAACTCCCTTTACCCAGATTCACCAGTTTTTAGCATTTTTGTCATATTTGCATTATCATTGATTCTGCCCCTTCTTCCCTTCTCCCCCTCTTATCCTCCTGCCTACCCCCACCACAGTTTTTATTTCTAACTATTTAAGAATAGATTGCAGATCTCATCCCTTAATATTTCAGTGTATATTTTCCAAGAACAAGGATATTCTTTTATATAACCACAGACAGTATAGTTATCAAACTCAGGAAATTTAATATTGATAAATATTCTTATCTACAGCTTATATTCCAGTTTTGTTAGTTATCTTTTTTTTCTTTTTTTTTGAGACAGTCTCACTCTGTCACCTGGGCTAGAGTGCCGTGGTGTCAACCTAGCTCATGGCAACCTCAAACTCCTGGACTCAAGCGATCCTCCTGCCTCAGCCTCCCGAGTAGCTGGGACTACAGGCATGTGCCACCACACTCGGCTAATTTTTTCTATTTTTAGCAGAGATGGGGTCTCACTTTTGTTCAGGCTGATCTCAAACTCCTGACCTCAAGCGATTCCCCCCACCTCGGCCTTCCAGAGTGCTGAGATTACAGGCATGAGCCACTGTGCCCAGCCATCCATTGTCTCAATGATGGCCTTTAAAGCAAATTTTGTTCCTGGTATAGGATCACACATCTCATAGCAGTCCTGTATAAGTCCTTTGACTTTTGTTTATCGTGGGAGTCTTTCAATGATTTCCTTTTATATTGTTCAAATAGTTAGCATCCTATTAAATTTGGTCCATATACATTTCCATACACATCTCCATCCCCTACCCCCAATCCCTTTTAGGGCACACTGGGTAAAAATTGCAAGCTCAGGAGGTGTCCAACATTATTAGTTCCAGGAACTAAGTGACATCTGGGAAAGATGTCCTGCGGCTCATGGGCAGGTGCCAGGTAGGGAACACCAGAGATGAAGTGGAGTGAACAGAGCAGACCCTGCTTTGATTCATTATGCTGGGGAAAAGGTCATGGTGTTCCCTAAGCAGCAAAGAGATATTTCCTAGGCAGAAGGAGAGAGACTAGATTTGCATTTGAAAAATGCAGCTGCGAGCAAACATGTGAACTCCAGCCTCTTCTTGGTGTTTTTCTAGTGAACTCACACACCTCTCTGACTAGAGTTTGGTCCTCATTCTAGGTGTACTGGAAGAAGCCGAGTTTTACAACATCGCGTCTCTCGTGCGGCTGGTTAAGGAAAGGATACGGGACAATGAGAACAGAACTTCACAAGTAATGTGTTTGGAACTTTTAAGGGGGAGATGTCTAAAGTGGCTCTCTCTGTTCGTGTGTCGGGATGTGATTTGAAAAGGATGCCCTTAGAGCCAGTGGTCTGTGCAGAACACTGTCTGCCGTGCAGAGGGCACGTGTTCAGCCAGAATTGCTCAGAATGAGGAATTAGAGGAGAAATCACAGAAAACAGAACAGCCCCACGTCCCTTTAGAAGAGTGAGGAGGTCGTTGCTGCTCACTGTATGGCAGTGGGAGGAGCCCAGGGCGCTTCAGGTCCAAAACCTGTTCTCTCTGACAGAGTATCTGTCTCCCTCTACATAAGCCAAACAAGGTCTTGCTTTCACCAGTTGGTCCCTCTTTATTAAGATGAGCCTTTAGCCTGTGATCATGTCACACCTAGCTCCTGTGAGCCACTTGAAACCAGTCTCATGGGGTAGGTTGCAGAAGCTGCTTGCAAATCATGCTTCTGAGAACATGATGGTAACTTGTCTTTATTATGATGTCTTAATTTTTATATAACTCAGTAGATAGAATAACAGAGTGAAACAAAATGTCACCTAGTTTGTGGGAAGGAAAGATGAGAGGACAAGGACGTCCTTACCTTACTTCACATTCCGTCATTCGCACGCATTTGAATGGCCATAATAGCTCCTATTAGGCCCTTGGAATTCTGTGAGTAATAGAAGGTCCTTGCTCTCAAGAAGCTTGAAGTCTAGCAGGAACATGTGTTTAGGCTCTGTTTTAAGAACGTACACTCCAGAGTTGCAGTGACAGAGGGCAGAGTCATGCTCCACTGGGACTGCCTGTCTGTAGTATAGTTGCTTCTTAGCCCATCAGATACCGGTGATAGATGCTCTCTTTAGTAGACTCTATTGCAGCCTAGAATTTTCCCGCCATTAAGAAGAAGGCAGGGGGGGCAGGAAAAAAATCAGTAAAAATAAATAAAAGAAGAAGACAATAAGTTTCTTTTTAGAACTCCTGACCTCAAGCAATCCTCCTGCCTCGGCCTCCCAGAGTGCTAGGATTACAGGCGTGAGCCACCGCGCCTGGCCTAATAAATTTCTTTTTTAAAAGTAAAATATTTCTGATACTGAATGAAGTGTGGGGAAAAAAAGTAAAATGAGATCCCTTGTTCTTTCTATGTTAGGCTTCATGTAGCAAAATTTCCTGGCTCTGGATGGCATATCTGGATGAGTAATAGACAGGATAAAAAATGAGCTCTCTCACCACTTTATCTTCAGCAGTTTGCACAGGTGGCAAGCAGGGCTTATTCATTTAGTTATCGTGGCCACTTGCTGTCCAAGTGGCTGACGGCGGAAAGGCTCCTTTTTGATGTTCAAAGATGAATTTGTAGGTGATTTGCAGATTACCGTTTAAAATTTGATCTAGTGTCGCCAGTCTCTTTGCCATCTCCTATTTAAATGGCATCTTTCACTATGGTAGATGCTAAATAGACATTTTGGAAATCTAGCCTTGTCCTCAATTTTCTACATTCTAAAAAAAAACTTAATTTGCTTAGTGTAAATTTTGACGGTACCAAGAATTATATAATTTGAAACCATTCAAACATGGTACCTGAACATTCTCCCTTCTTTGCCATAAGCTAATTCCTAGAGGGCATTGTAAGATTTCTATTTGATGACAGCAATTAAGGTAATTAATCCTCTAGATTCTGAAGGCTTGTAGATTTATACCCAGTTGGAAGCTTTTTTGTTGTAGGAATCTCAAGACCTTTTTGATGTCAATTGATCTTTCCATCTGTATCTGTTCTTTTTACTTGGTGAAACTCTGGGAAAGGATTTGATGTTGTTCGAAGACAACGTCAAACATCTTTTGCACTTGTCTCACGTGGCTCTAAGATGAAGTGAACCGTGTGTGGATTTCCAAACATGTTACCTCCTTTACCTTGTTTGCAGTGCCTCACACACGTAGCTCTGGGGCCAAGCCCAGGAAGTGGACTCCTGCCCGCCTTCATTTTCATGACCTCTTATCTCTTTTGGTGGCTGCCACCATTCTAACTACTTTGCTGTCTCTAATAACAGTATTTTTTTAGTTGCTTGATCTTGGTGCATCTGACAGCACCAGTAGTTTACTTTGGAAGGGAAAAAAAAAAAAACAGGCAACATAATGGCATCTTGAATACCTGGGACTTATACACACTTAACTGTGGCTAATCTCACAAATCTTTTGTGATACGCTAAATTGTGATATAAAACATCTAATTGTTTCCAAAATGCGTAGCTAGAATCAACTGAAATCTTCAGGGGATTTGTCTTATATTTTATATGGAAGGAAATTTTTTATGTCTTAGTACGTTGGTATAACTATGATAGTTATACCTCTTTTAGGTATACTTATACCTCTATAACTATAGAAGTATAGTTACAGTTATAGTTATACCTCATAGAAGAAAAAATACAGTGTCGTTAGGCAGACCTGGGCTCACATCCCAGTTCTACCCACAGCTCGGGCAGGCGCTTCACTCTGGACGTAGGTGTCCTCGTGTAGACGGGAGCTAACACCGGCCATCCAGGACCACAGGGAAGACTAGAGGAAAAGGGTGTGACACTTTGGGCTTGGGGTACTCGGTCATCGGTAGCTGCTTTTGTTTATCCTCTATTTCCCAAGTAGTGAGATGTCCTAAAACTAATTTTCCAAATAATTGAAGCCCAGTCATGCTCTTGCAAAAGTACAAAAACAAAGTTTTCATCATTTTTAAGGACACATTTCCTATTTTCTTTCTTTCTTTTTTTTTTTTTTCATTTCTATGAGCTCAAGGACAGTATTTCTTATTTTCTTAAAATTGTATTGAACATAGTGGTCCCTCTCTCCGTGACTGAGCGTCATTGTTATGAACCTCAGTTACTGTTTGTGCGATAACCAGAGCTTCCTGCCCTCTGGGGTGGGCAGTAAATGTGCAGGTGTCGGACCCGACACTGACAGGTCCCAGATTGCTAAACACTCTGAGTCTTCATGTGAGCTTCTGGGGAGAAAGTGGGGCGCTCTAGTGCTGCAGCACTGGGGCATCCTTTTTTTTTTAAGAGATAGGGTCTCACTGCGTCGCCCAGGCTGGACTCAAACTCCCAGGCTTAAGCAATCCTCCCACCTCAGCCTCCTGAGTAGCTGGGACTGCCACATTTCTGTAACAAGAGTGTTACCTTTTAACACTGAAACCCTCTGAGGTAGCATCAGCAGAGGGTTAAACATAGCTTGAACATTTGAACATTATGAGATTCCTATTTGATATATTAATTTAATATCTTAGTATATTATTACCACAATCACGTACATCACTCTGGATAAACCAAAATGTGGTATACATTTGCAGCATGTCTGTCAGATATAAACACTCTCAGAAAAAAATGTGGCTCTCTTGCGAAGAGTAATTTTACTGTTTTCTACTTGGGGAAGTGTATGGAATCTACATTTGTCAGTATAGCTGCTCACATAATTCATGCCCCAAAGTTCAGAATCGTTTTACCCGCTGATTCATATTCTTAGACCCTTTTTTTCTTTTCCTAGGATGAGTTTTTATTGAAAAACCACAACATTGTTTGCAAAGGGAGATAGTGGGTGGCTGCCAAGAAAAAATTTCCAGGCAAACTTCTTTTTATTGTTCATGCCTTTGAAGAGCCTCCTTGGGGCAGCTGCAAACTGTGGTGTCCTTGCTGCTGTTCACAGTCTGTGCTGGCTTGTTGCAGGGCCCCGTGAAGCACGTGTACAGAGTCCTGCAGTGTCAGGAGGAAGAGCTCACACAGATGGTCTCCACTATGTCTGACGGTTGGAAATTCGAACAGGTATGTCTCTTAAAGAGCAGCAATCCCAGTATCTCATCCTAGGGATCTGCAACTCTCCAAACAATCTCTGGCAGTAGCCAGTTAATAAACCTGGGAGATGAGTAGTGCCCGGTGTGATCCCATCCCAAAACGGGGGAAGAGCCACTTGGTGGGCATGGTTGGCTCGGTAGTGCCTAGAACGTTGGGGAGAACTGGGAGGAGCGCCGTGTCTCCCAGCTGCACGTCTGGAGTTTCAGTTTGACTGGACCCAGGGGTCAGTGAGCCTGTTTGGTCTTGAAAGTGCTTCCCTTTGGTTTTCCTTCCCTCAGAGGGATTCTAGAATGAGTCCCTAAAGAAGACAGGGATTTGACAAGCCTTCCTTTCCTTCTCTGTATAATCCACCAGGAAAAGCTCGGTGGACAGGTATACGACAGAGGGATCACGTGCAGTGAGGAGTGTGGCACAGTGCTTTACCATCCTTCACTCTGCTTCACTCCCTTTAGCCTGGTCTCTATGACTGAGATAGCAAAACAAAGCGACTGAGAGTCACAGCTTTACTATTCTCTCCCATTAGATGGCAGAATTGTTCAATTCTCTTTCCTTCAAAACACAGGAAGGCTGAAAGTGAAGAGTGAATATATTTTATATGGTTTATGCCTATTTTTATGTAGAGTTGAGTTTTGGGTTTTTTTTGAGACAAGGTCTTGCTCTGTCACCTAGGCTAGAGTGCAGTGGCATCATCATAGTTCACAGCAACCTCAAAGTCCTGGGCTCAAGCAATCCTCCTGGTTCAGCCTCCTGAGTAGGTGGGATTATAGACGCATGTGACCAAGCCCAGCTCATTTTCTTGTTTTTTGTAGAGATGGGGTCTTGCTGTATTGCCCAGGCTGGTCTCAAACTCCAGGCCCCAAGCGATCCTCCTACCTTGGCCTCTGCAAGTCTTAGGATTGTAGCCATGAGCCACAAGCCTGGCCATATGTAGAGTTAAGAAGTCAACTGACCTGTCACCATCATCTTCCCTTCTAAAATAAAAGCTGCAGTGTATGTTAACAGCATTATGTTACAGATCAAATGCAAATGTGTCTCTGCCTTCAGAGCCAACACTGATTATTCCTCACACTTACCTTCCACTGTGTGTGTCGGCCTAGTTCGTATTCAGGTGTGGGTTGCAAAGTGTTGCCAAGAGTTTATTGTCCTCCACTCCTAAGTATTTTCTCTGATACAAAATCTTAAGCAAAGGATATTATTTTTTTAAAGAAATTTTTTGTGAAACCAATGAATAATTTCTGATGTTACTTTTCTCATTTTATGACTGTTCTGTGGGAGGACGAAGTGTGTTCTCATTGCCTGCATTATGTGCATGAGGAAGTCTGGACAGGGAGGGGCCCTCAGCCCAGTGCTACGGCAGATCAGTTGTGGTCTCCCCATGAGGCCTCAGGACAACTCGGCCTCTGCTCAGCTCCTCCCTCTGCATGTATAGTTCCCATTTAGGATTAAATACTGAATTCAGTTCTCCAGAGGGTAACAAGTGCCAGCAGCATGTGGCTTTCAGGAGCTTCTCGGTGTTTGCTTGGCGATTTCCAGGTCCTTCTGAGCACCAGTCTCCTGTCTGGGCCTTCTGCGTAGAGAAGAGCCAGCTCTGTTGTGGCTGAAGCTCGTGTCCACATTCATTCATAGAACATTCCGTTTCACCTCAGTGTCTGATGGAGGGAGAGTGGTCATGTTAATCCTCCACTGCCTGTAGGGTGGCTTCAGGGCTTGGGTGAGGGCTGTGGTGAAACCCATGCTCTCCTTGGGGAAGCCTCGGTGGTGATGTCCCCATGAGTAACAGACCTAGTTACTCCCGGGGCCTTGATACAGAGAATTCTTTGTCTTCTGAAAAGTAAAACAACAAAGTTCAGTCAGGAGGAGGGTGTGATTAGTGTAGCACTTTAGCATTTGGTGAGTGTTCACCACAGTCTTGTTTCATCAGCTGATCAGCATCGGATCTTCCTATAACTATGGAAATGAAGATCAGGCAGAATTCCTCTGTGTCGTCTCCAGAGAACTAAATAATTCTACCAATGGTATCGTCATAGAGCCGAGTGAAAAGGCAAAGGTAAGAAATCACCTCACTGGAATTGTGTCTCTGACTTATTTGTTCCCGGCCCCTCTGCGGGCTTTGCCTGAACTGTTGCTTCTCATTTCTTCCCTCTTCTAAAGCCAGCTTTGCATGTCCCCTTCATTTCGTTATTTTGACTGTTGTAATTTAAACAGGGTTTATGGAGTCGTGACAGGGATTTTTAGTTAGTTAGGAAATGTGAACTTGCAAATGGTAGACTTTCTCCAGCCTCTGCCAGATCAGTGCGGAAGAAAAGCTTGCCACTGGTTACTGCAAGATGAGGATTCTGAACTCAAAATTGGAAAGTATTTTGCATTTATTCTTTCAAAGTATTGCTCTTACATGTTTTACAGCCTGAGGGCTTTGGGTGAGGTTGAGGCTCCACTGCCACCTTGCTTCCTGGGCGAACAGAATCAGTGGGCTGCTCGCCAGGGTCCAGTGGAGAGCAGCTGGGGGTCCCTTCCTTTTCCCTCGGCAGTCTGCCTACCAGCCTTGGCCTTCTCCCCATCTTGCGCTTTCAGATTCTTCAGGAGAGAGGATCACGGATGTAAACTGAGAATCTGAGATGCCAGAATCGTACATGTCAAGAGAGCAATCCTGCAGAGCACCTCTGTGAATTCGATCTCGCTCCTGTACAGTAACCACACTACTGCAAAGCAGAGCTGAGCCTGGCCCCCGAGTGGAGACATGTTCTGGTCAAAACCAAAGGAATCCCACCCCCACCCACAGGACTCCGAAGACAGATGCAACTTCTGGCTGCAGAGTACTTTTTCAGAAACTTGCTTTTGTTTCCTTAGCCCATATTGTAACAGATCTTTGCAACAGCAGCTGGACTGGGATCCCAGTTGGAGCCTTTTGGGAATCTGGGAGAAGGGGGAGGACAGCCTACCTCCTCAAAATGGCTTGGAGCAAAGGAAGGACTGTCCCCGAGCTGTGCCATGGTTTCACCCTAGCGTGCCACACTGGGCGTTGGCAGCTGCTTTGGAACTCTGTCTTTTCTCCCTTCTGTGAACCCTCAGAGTCATGCAGCAGATGCAGAGGGTTCCAGCTGCAGCTTGTCGAATCGAGGTTTTAGATAAGGGGTAGAGTTGCCGGAGTACCCCATGTTCCTATGAACAGAGCCTCTGTGAGGAGAGGGAGGATCAGGTGTCCTTTGTTGTGGTTGGAGTTTGGATTCAGAGCACCAAGCTGCCACCACGTGGAGCTTTGCCTCGGTTGTCTGCAGCAGCCAGGACCCTCTGGCGAACTTGCTTTCTCCCCATGAGGAGGTTTGAGTCAGAGACAGACAGACAGACAGACGGGAGCGTGCGGTAGTTGGTATAACTGCATCTGCAGCCTTTTCTTACCCCACGTTGACCCTGTCTTCCTTCCCTGGCTTTTTAAACTGGACCAAAGATGAAGGGACTTTGTGGACCCTCTTATGGCTTGGGGCGGGGAGGGGAGTTCCTTTGAAAGTTGCCAAATGTATTCTGTTGTATCTAAGAGAGCTGTAATTTCTGTGACTGTCTCTTGGAAATGCCTTGACTGAATGTGCAATATTTGCGTCTTCTTGGTTTCTAACCTTGGCAAACCCGCCCACAGCGGTGTCAGTGACTCCTCAGTGTCCCCAGTAGCGTATATGTGCCTGCTGGGCAGTCTGGGACCCCCCGCGTCTCTCACCCACCCTCACCATTATTTGTTTCTGTAGATGCCATGTTGCTGAGGGTCCAGTGCTTGTTTGACCACGGTGTAGCGAAGCCCTCCTTTGGGCTGTGACCACAGAGCTTGTGTCCGCACTTTCTCTCTGAGGTTTTGAGTCTTGGTGACTAGTTACGGAATGCAAAAGAGCCAGAGAATCCTTATTTTTCCCTAGACAACCTTCCCTGGTGTGACAAGTGGTAGGCAGAAGGCCAGGCACTGCTGGGCGCCTTCACAGCTGAGGTTCTCTGTGCTCCACAGCTTGAGTGCTTGCTTGGTGGGTCTAGGGCAGTAATTTCTAGAAATGACTGTAGCATATGCCAAGTGTCTTTTGAGCTTGTGACCTGACTGTGCCCAGATGGCTTAACTTTTCTCTAGGATTCTCACTTTTTTCCTTATTTCTCTGTATCTGTAGAGTAACATAGACGTGTGCGTGCAGAGGTTTCTGCTGATACATTTGTGTTACACACCGCCGTAAGTATACACGTCAGCGCCTCAGAAGTCTGGTGCGTGCCCAGTATTTTTACAGCTGTAAAATGGTAGATGAACTCCCACCTGCAGTAAAAGCAGCCACCCCTTCAAAAGGGTTACAGGCATCCATCCTGCCAGATCTTTCAGGGAAAAAAAAGATTGGGGTGGTTCAAGGAAAAGTAGAGATAGCAGGGAAAGCTGCTCTAAGCAGAGCAGCACAGGGGACTTGGGAAGTGGTGCCCTTTGGCCAAGTCCAATGAGCAACGTCAGAATGACTAGGAGGATAAGCAGCTTGTCTTGGGGCCTTGGGCCCGATTAGCTTCATTCAGGCCGTCCTGCTTCCGTGAGGCGTACCTGACGGCCAGCACAGCCAGGGCTCCGGGCTGGGTGATGCCTCCGGCGCGAACCCCAGCTCTGTCAGCAAGTGCAGGGGGAGGGCTGGAGGGCAGACATCGGGCAGGTGCCTCCTGAGTACACCGTTACCACATTGCTCTTCTCAGAATTGCACAGCTGAGCTGGGAAAAGGCTGCTGTTGAGCCCCAAGCCCGGCGCTCTGGGAAATAGGAGCGATGTTTCTGCTTTCGTGGAGGGAGGGCTGGTGTTCACCAGGTTTCCCTCCTCGCCGCAACCCAGTGACAGGTGAGTTGTTCCAGAGCTCCAGGAATCTAAGGATGATTCGTTCAAGATTTCTGGGAGAGAATTTTACCCACATCCTTTACGAGCCAAGCTGGTATTCCTGCTTGGAAGCCTTGTCCCCCTGGGAGATTCTGGCTGATCAGAAAAGTCTGCACGGTGGCTTGGGGCTGCCATACGACCAGTGACCCACACTCAGTACTGCCAAGTGGGGAGTGTCCTGCCTTTTTCTCTGCCCCAGCTCTGAGACTACAGGTGATGCCGGCAGGCCCAGGAGCACCTGGCGTGCCCTGAGTGATCACAAAGTAGCACCGTTTCTGTCTCTTTCCTTGGCAATGAAGTGGGGCCCAGCTCCTCTAGAGTGACTTGTTTCTGCACAGTTCTGACTGCTCTTGGGGGTGTGAGTGAGGTGGGGGTCCACAGAGATGCTGAGGGAGTAGGGCTAAGAGGACACCCACACCCTCCAGCTCAGCCTTGGATCCAGACCTTAGGGACGAGGCCTGTCACTTGTGGGTGCCCTTTGTTACTGTTCGTGTGTTTACTGAATAAAGTCTGAAGTGCTGTGACTTTTTTTTGTCAATAAAGATATGAAACAAACTTCTGAATTTTTCGACCTCTGGTGAGCGTCCCGTCATGCAGGCTCCTGGTTTCTAGTCACTTTCTGTTGATCCTCTCACTAATCTCTGGAGGTGGCTTCACTGTGCCTCTCCTCGCCCTGCCTCGTACAAAGCCCTCGTTGTCCTGCTGCGAACGCTGCCTGTGGGGGTGTAGGCCCTTCTCCCTCCCTGCTGTCATTTTCCTGACTCTGAAGAGACCCAGAGAGTGCTGAGAAGCAGGAGTGGGGACAGATGGGCTGCCCTCTGGGGAGCTGGCAAGAGACTACAGGAGGAGTATGCAGTGGCTTTAAAGGGAAAAGTCTCTGAGAGAGGAAAAGTGACTAGGTGCCCATTTTCTCTGCAAAGAAGAGGATGAGTAAGAAATGTTTGGTGACAGTCACGTAAGCAACAAACAAGTATTGATCGCTTAAGCATCGGGCAGGGCGCGGGATCCTCAGAAGGTGTTAGTCCCTTCCCTTCCCAGATGGTACTCGCAGACGGCGAGGCGCACACGCGCAGGTTAGTGCACAAGGTGTGTAGGTGTATCCGCCAGGGCCCCATCAGGAGTCGTCAGGCACATAGCGGAGAAAAGGGGGTGGGACACTGAGGCGTCACGGGTGCAGTCATCGCTCCTGGGACGGAGTGCTGGGAAGAGGCGGCGTTATTACGATGGAGACTCAGGAGGGCCCTGTGGAGAAGGAGATCCTGGCTGGTCGGCGCCGCTGCCTCTGAGGGCTCAGCGAGGCTGCCCCTGGGAGTGGAGAGACTGCAAGCGAACCAAGGCCAGAGCGCAGCAGTGTCGCCGTCGCTGTGGTTTCGCCAGCAAGAAGAAGCAAGCAGGAAGGCGGCATCCCTCCTTTTTCTCCTCTGGCCCTGCAGCCTCCCGCAGCCTGTCCTGTAAGGAGCGAGCTGCTGAAGAAGTGTCAGCGGTGGCCCAGGCCGGGGCAGAGTTCAGAGGGTGGTGTCTTTGCTGCTGAGACAATAATGCAGGGACCAGATTGGCCCACACATACATGCTTCTACACATACTTAACTTCCATACGACGGTAAAAAACAACTTTATGTCTCCATGGAACAAGATACAACTACCCTTTGTACAAGCAAATATGATCCCACCCTGTCTGCAATTTAGGACAAAAAGTGCCCAACGGTACTCCTGTCCAAGAGACCATTACTGCCTATTTCTAAGTTAATTACTCCTAGTTGGCTTGGTGGGTGAGAACACTCAGTTGGTAGTGGGCAGCTCAGGCCACGTGGTCACTTGTCCTCTGAACTAGGTGTTCAGTCTCTGCCGGGCCCCGTAGCAAGGCAAAGGCGAGAGGGCCTGGGCCCACTGAAGCCCTGGAGTTCTGCCTGGCGATGGTCAGTTGGGGCTTGCTGGAGGCTCTGATACAGCATCCGAAGTGGCAACAGATAATTCCAGTATCTCCCCGTCTGCTCAGTCCTAAAGCCCAGGTGGCAGCACAGAGCTCAATTTTTAGTAAGAATCATACCCCACAGATTTAATCAGTAAAGCATTCCCCTGGAGTGAGCTGTTACTTCATTAAGCCAGTTTAATTCCTTGATCAGTTTCCTATACAGAGCAATTA